TAACTTTATCAGCCTCTTTAAGACTTGGAAGTGTGCCTTGCTGTAGAGGAAATGTCCATACTGTGAAGGCAGTGATGCCAAATCATTTCCCCAAACGACTTCCCCTCTGGGTGGTAAAGTGCATTTTTCTGTTTTATTTTCATTCCATCATATTCGCTATCTCAAGAGAAAGATTTTACTTTTTTTTTCTCCCCCTCTCATCTACATTTCTGTATAGTTTAACTAAAGAGAAGGTAACTTCATGCAGTGTGGAAATGTTTCCTTCTTCCCATTAGTGATTAATACCAATGAAGTTGAAGACAAAACTCAGAGGATAAATGACAGATACCAACCAGTGAGATTTCCTGAAAGAGGTTTAAAGGCTAATGATCCTTGAAATGTATAAAAATAAATTGCTTCATTAAAAACTATTTTACAAAATAATTTCTTCCTAGCAGCATATTTTCTGCAAAACAGTTCCCCTGTGTAACTACACCTGGGTAGTAAAATTTGATTCAGTGCTGCTCATATGGGGCCGCAGTCAAATGTCCTGATCATGCCTGTGTCCCTGTGCCTCATCAGGAGAGGAGGTTTGGGGCTTAAAATTAGAGACATGTTCAAGGCAAGTCTGTTGAAGTTTACTTTTTGCCCAGAGGAGAAAGTGCCCTTCTTTCTGGGACAGCAACAAGCATGTTTAAACATGAGTGACAGAGTTTTTCTTTAGATGGGCACAATGCTTGTGAGTCACACACATGGCTGAAACCACAGCCATTCTGCTCTAATTAAAGAGAACTACACCAAGAATGCGTAATAATTAGGTTAGTGTGTAATACACCATCCATGTCAACAGCATCTGCCACAAAGGTTGATTGAAATGTACTCATCCTCCAAACATTGTGCTCCCTGTTAGAGCTCCTCAACTAATTCATTACCATCCTGTCATACAATAACATGACTCCACAGAAATCTGCAGAAAATTAGAGCAAAGACTACGTATAGATCTGCCCTGGTTTAGCATGTAACTTCAGTGAAGGAAAACCACCCACATAAACATAAAGATGAGAGATCTCCGTCCTAATGAAGATGAATTACCAAAAAAAAGGGCTGTGTGGGAATGCTCTGTTTTTTCCAAGTTGTCTGTTGTTGTTTAGTTTGAACAGACACGATGCTTTTGAGCTGTGAGTGTTTATCAAATTAACCACAGATTAGTTTTTGCTTGTGTTTTTGAAGTATTTAATGAATAAGGAAATGTTCTGCTGGCAACCTTGTTTGCATCAGTGTGTTTCTGTGCTTTTGCTGTGGGTTTAGGAGCGAAGTTAGTTGTTCGGGGGCAGGAGGAATGGTTGACTTTATGCTCAAGACACATGGAATAGTTACTGAGATTCATTTAATACTGCAGTGCATGAGGCTGGGTACAGCAGGTCACTTGGTGGTGTTTCAGAGTAACAGATCCGTGTAGGCTGTGTCCAGTGCCCAGTGGGCAGCTTTGAAGCAGTGAGCCAAGAGCTGTAGGAGCCCTGCAGCCACCATCCCCATCCAAGCGGCAGCTTGGAGGACCGAGTAGATCTGCTGTGCACATGTAGTCAGCTGTTAAAGTAGCCTTCCAAGCCAAAGGATGAGAAAGTAGCCCAGCCAAAAGTCGTTTTTGCCATGTAGGATTGTCTGTGGGTGGCTTCTTCAGCTAAGCAGAGTCAGCCCTGTCAGCCTGACACAATTTAAGTTTGCAGTTACTGAGTTGGTGGGGAAATGAAGTGGCAGCCATCTCACAGGTGGTTTTGTCTCAGATGGGTAACAACAGGCAGGGAAAAACACTAATTTTCTAAACCAAATCAACTAAACACACTAAAGTAGAGCTGCAGGTAGTGTAGTTCTTCTCCAGAGGAATTTAATTAAGGTTTTGCCACTGATGTTGGTAGGAGCAGGATCTGGATGTGAGAAAGTTCACACATGCTTAAGAACATGTAGAAGCCGTTTTAGAGGTGCTGGCATGTGTGTTTTCACATTCTCTTCATCGTTAAAAAAGTGTTTTAAAAGTGCTGCAGGCAGCCAGAGCTTCTGCATCATGTCCTTCCCTTTTGGGAAGCAGTTTGGGACCCTCTCAGGGAAGGGCCAAGTGAGACCCACACTTGGGTAGGTGAGGGGCTGCTGGCACATGGAAATGGCAGAATGAGCAAACCTTCACAGTCAGCCAGCCCATGCAGACTGGAGTGGTACCTGCAGCAGTGTGGCTGCTCTTGTATCTCCTGTCTGGGGGCATGCCTGTTGCTGAAGACAGTAGATGCTGTTATCATGCTGGACTCTGATGTGGGAACAACACATCTGCCTTTCTGTCTGGTTCTGTGCTGATCATCTAAGTTATGGTAGTAAAGACCTAAGCCAAATGTGCTGAGACACATGGATTGCACCCTCTAGAGAAAGAGACTGCATTTATGGATTCTGTTTTCAGATTTTGCTCACCAGATTGCTGTTTGACATTAAAAGAGAATAATGCTGACCTTCTAGGGCTGGTTTGAAGGACAAAGTCAAGAAAGGATCACCCTCTGTGTACTCTGTTGTTTGTAACTTTCTCCTAGTCATTCCCTAATGACACTATTGGAAATCAATTCTTCGTCTAAACTACTGAAGCAATTCTCATATAGTGTCAGGTGTTCAAAGGTTCTTGTTATATCATCTGAAGCATGTGGGCTATTACTGATCAAGGCAAGCCATAGACATCTTTCAAAGAACAGAATTTAATTATCTATGAAAGCAGAAGAAAGGATAGGAAAACCATTTTAAGATACACTCGGGAAATAAAATCACTTTAATGAGCCTATCTTCAGAAACAGGACTGTGTAGATCCTATGTTTGCTCTAATCTCCTACCTCCCCCTCCCAGAAAAAAAGATCAAAGTGAATGGATAAAAACCTGGTTGTATTTCCCCTCACAGGACACTACAACGTCTGTGCGGATAGGTCTTATGATGGAAGAAATGATCTTCAACCTTGCAGATACACATCTGTTCTTTAATGACCTGGAGGTATGTAGCTGCTTATTTTATTTAACATCTCTCTCTCTAATCATTTGCATCTGGTCTACAAACTTGTTTTTCTGGCCAAGAAACTTTTATTTTTGACCCCAAAGAAATGGGCCTTAGATGTCTTATTGGAAGCATACTTCACTGTGTCCCTTTGACATCTTCATTCTGTTAAGGAATTTTTTTTCTAAATACACAGTAACAATGATGGCTTTTGGCAGTTTTACTAAATCTAATAATGAGGACATTGCTGCTGCTTCTCCTGAAATTTGCTATTTAATAATTTTATTAAGCTAAATTAGCAAAGATCCTATGGGGCAGGTAGCAATTAGTTGTGAGCCACTGCAGAGGATTTAAAAATGGTCTCTGTTCTTGAGGATATTCTGCTTCCACACACAGAGCAGGAGGTCTGCTCAAGCTGAGGCACACTGCAGGATGGAAACTATGGGAGTTTCAACATTAAAGACCAACAGGAAGAATCCTTCCTGTTTGTGGCTTGGTTAGGTCTGACTGTGCCTTATACAAAGCAGAAATCCTTTTGAATACAGTAAAATTCAAGCAAAGCGGTGCTAGCAGATGATGATAAAAAAAAAAATCTAACATCCCTGGGTAGACTTTTACGGTCTTTTTTTCACTTGAAAAAGGAGGAATTTTTTTCTGTGCTGGATGAAATGAGATAACTTTTTGTGTGCCTGATGAGTTCAGTGTGAACTTCTGGTTCCTTCACTGCTTAATTGCACTGTGGTCCTTAGCATTACAGGAGGTACAACCTTTCCTGCCACCTGTCTCCTTACAATCTGAGGTTTCACTTGCTGAGAATTTTCATTTCCTTTTGAAGACAAGCAGTGGCCAACACCTGAACTGACAGATATTTCCTCTTTCAGCTCTTTTCAAAGAGGGAGTTGGTGATGAGGTTATGAGAAGTACAAACTGAAAAAGCCCTCCTTCGGGAGGGGGAAGGGGAAGCTGCTGTTTGGAAGTGCAGTGTACTATATAAAGAGTGATAATATTTAATATGCAGCCAGCACTTTCCACTCATCAAATCTTAGCTCCATGTACTGCACAAAGTCACCCTCTGGAAAACCTCTCCCTATCTAGACTCTTGCAAAAATATAAGTTGGCAAATCATTTTAAAATAAGTTTTTTCCTTGCTTTACTTACTGCTCTAAAACATGAAGTGAAGTACGATTAGGAGGGACGACACAGGAGGGCATACAAAGATGATAACTAAAACCATTTGTGTAAGTAGTGCTATTTTGTGGCTGCTTGAAAAAAAGAGAAGCAAATTTCAGTGGAAGAAATTGCAGCAATAGTCATCTACCTCTGTTCATTAACCACCCTACTCCTTCATTTAGGATGATAAATAAAAGTCAGATTTGAGTATTCAGAAAGTCATACTTAAGGATCATACATCACCAAGCGCAAGGCTTGGACCAAAACAAAAAAAGATGAATTATGTTCTTAGAACAGAAAGAAGAAATTGGTAAAAAACAAGCACAGAAGCTGATTCAGTTCTAGACCCACGAACATTACCATATACATTAGCACCATCATGTGGTATAACACTGGTCTGTACAGGACAAAATAAGCTAAAAACAGTCAAACCCTTTTCGGAGCATCTTCTGTGTTGGGGCGGCGTGAGAGAAGCAGCAGGGTAGCTGCCCAGCTGTCTGGATGATGGGGCACACTAGAGATGTGCTGCCCCAAGACAAAGGATCAAGGCACCAAACCTTGACAAGGGCAGGCTGTGCATTGCACTTCCAGAGCATGCAGTGACACAAGCATTGCTCTGTTCAGGAGGTTATTTGCAACATAACCCAGGCAAGCAAGGCCTCTGTTTTCTGAGCCCCATGTTGAAATCATACAAGTGTGTGTTTGCCACACTAATTTGTCCTCTCATATGGCATATAAGCATAAGTATAGGCCACACAAGAGGTTGTGTACTTGTGTGCAGTGATCACACTGCAGCATATATCAGGAAATACTCAGTTGAAGTATTCTCACTTTCTGTTCCCCTTTTGGGACACTGGGGAGAAAAGAAGTTGCTCAAGGTTACAGATCACAGTGAAGTTAAAATACAAACTCTGAGCTTTCCAGGGTTGAGCTTTTTCTCCCAGATGCCTTTTGTTCACAGTGCAATGCTGGCTAAAGAATAGTACCTTCTACCTCCAGTCCCTCTGGAGATACTGTTGTCTAGCACTCTGGAAAACAGGTATTAAGGACAGGAGGACTGGAAGAATTAACAAACAAGGGGATTAGTGTGTTTACAAGTTACTGCCTTTCAGAGCCATCCCTGGAGGGTTTGTGTTCTGGGAACTGTTAACTCCCCACCTAATGAGGGATGCAAGCTTGGCTGATAAACGAATCCATAAGATGTTTAAAAATCTCTCACACAGTCCTGATATGCAAACAGTGACAAGCTGTGCATTCATCAGTTGTTTTCATATGTGCACAAGACATACCTCAACGGCATTCAGAACGAGCATAAGCGATAACAGAAGGCGCTTCTCCACACATCCTCAGGAACAGCTTGTGTTTCACAAGGAGGCAGCAGAGGCTTTCTCCAAGCCTGCAGTACTGTTTCAAGTCTGCATTAGCTCAGGCTCCTTCACATGTGGGTGCAGGGGTCTGGTCCCACGTGGAGGCAGGTTGCGTGGCACAGACTGACCTAGAGATACCACAACAATAAAAACAGTTCAGTTCCCAGAGCTGTGAGGGTTGGCTGAGGTCTCAACAGGTTTGACTCTGTTACAGGCTGTATGTGCCACACATCATATCCCTCAGAGATCCTAGAGCATCATTTTAAAAAGTCAGCAGATGTGAAAACTGGGATGTGTTCCCACTGCAGACATCCACGCCAACAATCTGGTCCTCCTTTGCAGCAGCCCAGATATCCTGCCTTGATTCCCTGCTCACTAAAATTTCAAAGAAATTCTGCAAGAATGAAAAATTAGTCTTGTAACCAAGCAGTAAAACATGGCCCATGTTCTGCTTTAACCAGCTTCCCTGAGTTTCACCCAGTAACACGATAGGCTCAGCCGGTGCACTATGAGGTAGCGTCTCACCAAGTGTCATGGTATTTTATTAAGTTAGAAATGTGATAGCTACTGTTGTCACACTTCAGTGTACAGAACAATTCATTCACAAATGAGAAAAACAGATCTCTCTGCAAATACCTTTCCCCTGACTTAATGCCCTGCATCATACAACTGAAGTGCAGTGGGCTGCATCAATATTTTCCCAGCATGGCTCACAACAGCCATTGGCAGGGGAGCTTAAAGATGATGGGGCTAGAGGGGAGAGAGAGAAAGAGATGCCAGCAGAGATCTGCTGTTCAGCCTCTTGGCTCCAGTTATGTACAGAAATACACACCCCAGTTATATGTTGATAAGAGGACAGGAGCAAGATAAAATTGTCTTTGAGCATTATCTCAAATGCTGCAGAAAATCTCATGATCATGAACAAGAACTACCTGTGCCATTTCACCACTGATAACAAATTTGGTTAATTGTTTGGAGATGTTTTTCTTTTTTTGAAAGGGGCTAGTTTAAAGTATCTCATAAACTCCTAATTGTATAAAGAAGGTAAGATAAATTCTGTGGTTTACAGAATAGTGTAGAGGTGAAAACTAACTGTACCTTGGTTAGTTGCAATTCTTCTGACTTTGGAATCCTGTTGTACCAAGCACTTTTTTCTTCTATTGAAAAATCAACCAGAGCAAAGGATAAGAGTTCATCAGCTGGAATGAAGGCTTTCTGTCTTGTTCTAACCTGCAAGGGTCATGGAGAAAGGAGATTGAAGGTGGTGGGAGAAGCTTCCTGTTTTTAACTCTTTTTAATCTTAATGCTAAGACTAGGAAAGAGACCAAAGAAATAACATTTCTCAAATTTTTGAGGCAGGGCCTCCACCATTCAAACAATGAAGAATTTTGGAAGATAAGATCTAGAGTACATGCTTCATGCAGGCTGAGCTCCAAGTATATACTCTGGTTAAACTTCCTGTGCATAGATTTCCTCATTACTGACACACATTCTTCCTTCACTCTGTCTGTGGCTGGGGCTATGAAAGGCTGCCGCCTTCAGTGCTTCTGTCCAGGTTCCCTGTACATCAAAGGAAGCTCAGCCCCCTCAGAACAAACAGTGAAAACACTGGCAGGACAGGCATCTCTGGAAAGTTCTTTGGGACAGATCTCCCTGTGTAATTATGTGGGCATACACCTCCTGTCGAAAGCAGTATTCTCACGGGGGCACAGGCTGCCAAATCTCTGCCTTATCATGCATACAAAGTTTAAAAACCACAGTTTTCCTGGCAAAAACCCAAGCATCTCTCTCCCTCCTGTTGCATAGGAGAGAGTTCCATTTACTGTAGTATTCAAGAACTGTTTTGCCCTTAGATAATGGCAGATTTCACATACACACTCTCTGTCTAGTCATATTTTGTACAAGTGCTATGTGATGCTTGTTCCTAACAATTAACTGGCTAGACTATGCCAGACAATACTAAGATTTTATCTTCTTAATATTACATTTAAGGCAGTTTTTCATTATGTTATTTCAGGTTGTTTTTCCAAAGCATTTACTTACTGCTGTATTTTTTTTCCATACGCTTCTCAGGACTGTGACCAGATCCACATAGATGATGTATCATCAGATGATAACGGTCAGGATCTAAGGTACGGTATCTCCTGGAAGCTGCAGGTCAGGTAGTCCCCAGCTGTTTGAAAATAGGAGGGGGCTGGTCAGTGATGTAAAATAACATTCTCAGTCATGCACCCCCTCCATTTCCTGGCTCTATGCTGTCTGCATTAAGCACCCAGAAGCACAGAATCCCCTTTCTCACATTAATATGCATGTGCCTACTGTCAGACCCTGACTGTACTGAGCTTTGAACCATTCTGGGAAATATACTTAAAATTAGCTTAAACTCCAGTCCGTCTACACTAGTTTCTGATGTGATTTGGCCAGCCACTTAGTGCAGGTATGGCCAAAATGCTTCAAAACCATATCGAAAGATTTCCCACTGCCTAACCTGTAACACATGGGCTCAGCAGTGAGATTTATGGACCTTGCCATGCCAGAGTTCTGTTACTGGTAGAAACTTATATCAAAATTGCTCCAAACATTATTATCTAAGTTAGATTATCATGTACCTAAAAAATACTTCTGAGGAATTACATCACCTTTACTAAAGCATTGGCTGCAGAGTCATGATAATTGGCACAAGAATTAAATGGGAAGAGCCCATATAGAGCTTTATATTTTATGTTTTTCTGGCTGGTGATTATGAGAAATGGGTGCAGAAACAGCATGGAAAACTATGAAGTGTTTTAGGGAAGAGACTTTTTCTTCTGCAGAGAACACTTGAAAGATCTCTTGCAGTAACTGAACTGCTAGTTTGTGCTCTGCAGTGCACTGAAGTGGCACATATTTATTTAGGTCCTTTGCCTCCAGTGGCCTGTAAGCAGGTGAGGCTAGATACTTGCTCAGACATTGATTAAAACATTACTTTGGGGTTTATCTCAATCAGTGCACTTACCTTGAGTGAATAAAAAAATTCGTATGCTAACAACACATCTTGAATTCTGTGAAAAGCCCTCCCTGAGTGGTTTCTGTTGTTTCAGAAATACTTCTCAGCTGCTCCTGGTTTGTCTATGTGGGAAATGAAGCTGAGCTGACTTCAGTATCTTAAGCATAATAACTCCTATCTGGATGCTTTAATGCAGAAATACAGTGGCATCAGGGCTCTCTAGATGGGGAAATTACTGTGCAGTAAATCAGGATGTGAATGTACAAGCACTGGCTGCTCCCCCAGTGAGGTGTCAGAAGCACTTTAAGCTGAGCTAACTTCAGGCTGCACCTGAGAAGGATAGGTCTGTCCCCCTCAGCCTTTCTGTCCCTTCCTTTGCTCTGGTTCAAGTTGAGTTTGTCCAGATCCACTGGGTCTGTGACCTGATCTGACTAACTGTCCCCCATGAGCTGCAACTGCCCTCTTCCATCGCAGCTCAGTCTGAGACCTGCTCAGACCATGAAACTGGTCCTGATGCTGTCATCCAGCAAACATTTGAAGATGACATGAGCTGGTACTGGCTCTTTCCATGCCCCGACTCCCAGACCAGGGAATCCAGGTGAAAAGCAACTTCTTTTTTTTTTTTTTTTTTTTTAGTTCTGTTATCTTTTAACTGGAACAGTTCCCTGATCTGATTCATCTCAGTGCTGAAGAAATCTTTGTACCAGCCTGTGCTGGTACAGAGAAAGGGACATCAAGGAGGTCTGAAGACAGGAGCAAATGCCTGGCAGAAGGCAGGATTGCTTTCTTCAGAGAAACTGCCTGTTTAAGGTGTTTGTGGAACTGACACTTGCCCCAGTTCATTGTGGTAATTACTCTAGAGTTGCTTTGAAGCATTAACTCAGTTTTAAAACAAAAGCAAACAAAAACTTCACACATTGCAGGCAGTTAAGGCTCCTTTAGTTAATTTCTTAATCTTTTTTCTTGGTCTAATTTGTGTTCAGAGCCTGTGTAGCCATATAGCCAAGTCGTAAAAGGGAACACCAGGATTTTCTCCTTTAGGATGTATTTCTGCAGTTCCTTCAGCAGCCTGGGCAAGAGGCAGGTGAGGAAGTTCAGTGACGTGAGGACATGCAGATGTTTTGTAGTCCAGAGAACTGGCAGGGAGTGCTGAGTAACTTGCACTGTGTTTACAGTCAGAATGCCTTTTAATCTGTGCTAGTAACCATGCTAGAGATGAAGTCCAGTTCTGCACAGTGTGTCCTGAGCATGCTGCTGCTGCCGCTTGTCTTGACATTTCAACTGCTTCCACTCCCTGCTGGCACTGTATAGACTGCAATGTACTGACCTCTCCCCTTCCCTCCTTCCTTTCCTAGCACATATAACTTCTCTGCGGATGGCTTTCACAGTTCTGCTGCCAGCACAAATCTGTGTCTGGGCTCCGGTGTGCATGGGGGAGTTGACTGGATGAGGAAATTAGCATTCCGCTACCGTCGGGTCAAAGAGATGTACAACACCTACAAAAACAATGTAGGGGGTAAGTGTCTCTGGCCAGGCATCAAGTTTGCCTTTCAACTCCTCAAATACTTCTGACCCTGCTAGGGACATCTCTGGAGGAGGTGTAGCAAGCATCCTGATAAGAGTATTTAACAGAGCTGAGCAACTGTTTCAGCAGTCATCCTTAAAGAAGGTTCTGCATAGGATTTGCAGGAGATGTGCTAAAATACCTGGTTTAGTGATTCAAGAGGGACTTAAGTTGAAGTGTGGGGCTTTATTTTGTAATTTCTTAGGCAGGAAAGTGACCTCCAATTTTCCAGAAAGCTTAGTAAGCAAGCAAACAGTTCAAAATCAAATATGCCTTTTGTTTTCAGAGAACATGTGGGTGATCTCTGTCTGAAGGCATTCTTGTATCATAACTACTTGTTTTCAACTCCCCCAAAACAATAGCACCAGATATCTTCCTTCCTCTCCAGACAGTTCTCTCAATAGGCTGCTCTGCTTACCTTTTAGGACATCAGTGCCAGGCCTCTGACTAGAAAGAGAAAGACGCAAAACTCAGGTCTCTGTCGCCACAGCCAGGGGCTTGTTTTGGTTGGAGAAGCCTACCCACATGTGCTGGAAGTGCTGCGTAGCTTTTCAGGAGAAACAAAACCATCCTGGCTTCAGGTGCCTCTCAGCTCAGGCCACTGCCTACTGCACACAGCTCTTGCATCCCTTGCTCACTTCCCATGGAAGTTCTAATGAGGCCCTGCAGCCTGTGGGTGACTGATACCATTCTGCTGGAGAGGAAGGAAGCTGAGCTGCAGTCAGGCTTTGTGTCCTTCAGGGCAGCCTTGGAGTGGTGTGGCAGTGGGCAAAGGGATCAGCCTGCACCAGAGATAAGGACAGTGGGAGAGTGAGGGTTCAGAACGCGGACAGAAGCCCCTTGGCATTCTACATACAAAGCCATGCAGCTCCCTTTCTGTGCTTCTGCAAAGATGCTTTCCCTGCTTACAGGTTTAATAGGAGCTCCTAAGAGGGAAACCTGGCTGCAGTTAAGAGCAGAACTGGAAGCGCTGACTGATCTCTGGCTCACACATGCTCTGAAGGCGCTGAATTTGATACATTCCCGGTAAGAACAACTAAAGAATTGCCTACAGGCTTGATCCAGGATCTCCTTTAGTTCCCTTTATTTCCCCCTCTAAACAAATCAAGACACATTTATAGTGACTTTGCTGGCCAAATCTGTGGAAGCCTGGTCTACGTATGTTTGGCAAACCTGAATAACGAAGGGTTGGGATGAGCTTGAGATGGTGACCTGAGCAAAAGAAGTAGTTCTTTTATTGCCTTTCCTTGGCTGCCTCATCTGTGGCACACTTTTCATATGAGCAGATTTACAAAAGAGTAGGAAAGGGAGAAAAGGGTCTTTCTATCCCTGAACATGTTCACTCAAAGCACAGACACTACTACATAGTGTTTAAATTCCCACAAAACAGCTCCTGGCATGCATGCAGTAAGGCTACATCACTGCTACTAGTTTGTTTTATGTTTTTTCATTCTACTAAGCTGCTCAGAGACATTATCAGTACTCACATCATCTGCCTCTAGCTGCATAATCTCCCAGGGGCTTGGGAACTTCCAGTGGGAAGACAGGTTTTCTTCCTACCATCTTGATCTCATCCTCACTAACAAGGAGGGTCTGGTTGAAGCAGTAAGGGTAGAGGGCTGCCTTGGTTGCAGCGACCACGAGATGGTGAAGTTCAGGATCTTGTGTGGTAGGACTAGTAGGATACCAAGTAGAATTGCAACCCTGGACTTTAGCAGGGCAAACTTTGGCCTTTTCAAGCAATTGCTAGGGAAAATCCCATGGGCAAGGCTGCTTGAAGGAAAAGGGGCCCAAGATAGTTGGTTGACATTCAAGGACTGCTTTTTCCGTGCTCAAGATCGGAGCATCCCGACACGTAGGAAGTCAAGGAAGAGGGCCAAGAGACCTGTGTGGCTAAATAGGGAATTGCTGGGTATGCTCAAGTGGAAGAGGAGAGTTTACAGGTCATGGAAGGAGGGGCTGGCCACTTGGGAGGAATATAAGGCTGCTGCTAGGGGATGTAGGAAGGCAGCTAGGAGGACTAAGGCTTCCTTAGAATTAAACCTGGCAAGAAGGGTCAAGGACAGCAAAAAGAGCTTTTTCAAGTACATGGCAGACAAAACTAACACCAGAGGCATGTAGGCCCACTGATGAACGGGATGGGTGCCCTGGTGACAGAAGATGCAGAGATGGCAGAGTTACTGAATGCCTTCTTTGTCTCTGTCTACTCTGCTGCAGGCAGTCCTGAAGAGCCCTATACCCCTGAGACCTTAGATGAAGTCAGGTCGACGGAGCGACTTGCCTTAGTCGATGAGGAATGGGTTAGAGATCAGTTGAGCAATCTGGACGTCCATAAATCCATGGGTCCAGATGGGATGCACCCGCGGGTGCTGAGGGAACTGGCGGAAGTCATTGCTAGACCACTCGCCATCATCTTTACCAAGTCTTGGGAAACGGGAGAGGTGCCTGAGGACTGGAGGAAGGCAAATGTCACTCCGGTCTTCAAAAAGGGCAAGAAGGAGGACCCGGGTAACTATAGACCGGTCAGCCTCACCTCCATCCCTGGGAAAGTGATGGAACACCTTGTCCTTGGTGCCATCTTAAAGCATATCAAGGATAAGAGGGTTATGAGGGGCAGTCAACATGGCTTCACCAGGGGGAAATCATGTTTGACCAATCTCTTAGCCTTTTATGAGGAAATAACACGGTGGGTGGATGATGGCAGAGCGGTGGATGTGGTCTACCTTGACTTCAGC